TCCATATGTAGACACTTTGCTCCCAGTTTAAGTTCTGGATTATTCTAATATCTTCCCCGAATATATCATGCTTACCTAGCAGTTCAAAAAGGAGACAGCAAATAACGTCAAGGTATGGTATAGAATATAGTACATTTCACAAAGAAATTAGGAACAGATGCAGGCAAGCAAAAGAGGAATGTCTCAACGAAAATTGGTCAGAAATAGAAAAAAATGACCATCGTAGATAAGACAGATATACATAAAAGAATAAGAAATGTAAGAGGACAAAAGATGTGTACATCAACAAAATACTTAAAATCTGAGGGAACACTGGTAATAGAGAAAGAAAACTCGTGGCGTATTTTATTAAACGGTCTTGTATGATCTATAAAACATAGGTATACATACTTTTGCATCTGTATTGATCTTTACTGATATCATTCTGAGCATAAATATTGCATTCCTTGTTCCAGTGTCTTTAACAACACCGTACTGCTCTTATCCTATTTCCGGTCTAATCCTGCTGGGCATTCTATTCATTAGACTTTGGATAAATTTTGTTACATGGCTCATCCGGCCAATTTCACATTTGTTTGCACCTGTTTTTTAGGCAGCGCTATGAAAATTAATCTACAAGGGTCTTCCGGTATATCACCATTGTCGTATATTTCATTTATTATGTATGTAATTTTGTCAATGCCGAAATCATCTAAAGTTGCCAGAATTTCAATTTCAATTCCATCTGGCCCCGCTTCTTTTTTTCTGTTCAATTCGTCCAGTGCTAATTTCATTTCTGATTTTAATATACCTTTTCAGGCTTTCGCTGTGGAAGCTTTCTCGGGTGTATTCGTTCCATCTCTGAAGTATTTTTCTTTCTCTGCTATCAGTTCACTCCTTAGATTTTAAGTAACTTGTTGATGTGCACATCTTTTGTCCTCTTACTTTTCGTATTTTTTTTATGTATATCTGCCTTATCAACGATACTCATTTTTCTATTTCTGTATACTTTCCGTTGAGACATTCCTCTTTTGCTTGCCTGCATCTGTCCCTAATTTCATTGTGAAATGTACTATATTCTATGCCATACCTTGACGTTATTTGCTGTCTCCTTTTTTTCCGTGGCTAGTTTTCTTTGGTTTGTTTTGTTTTCTTTTACGGAATATCAGTTTCAGTTGGTTATTTAATGCCGACAGGATTTTTATTGCTGGTAATATTTTCCTTCAAGGATCTATTGCTGGTAATATTTTTTTCAAAAATCCATTACTGGTAATATTTTTTCTCAAAAATGTATTGCTGGTATTAAAATCTATTTTTACACTTTCATGGTGTTTTGACCCCAGTTTAGGGGTTAACTATTTACTCACAGCTAGAACCCAAACAGGTGCTATCACCCCGGGTTAAGGTGGACCTGGGAACAGCAGCAATTCAGAGGTGGTTTCACGCTCCTCAAAACCTTCTAATCAGAGGCTTTGCTGCCGGATGCTGTTTATCATCTTACCCAGGACGCGGATTTAGTTTATAGTCCTACCCAGGACGCAGTTTTCTTTGGGATAATCTTATTTGCTGACGTTACTAAAGCTTCTTTTTACTTAATGTGCCACACTTTGAATTTCCATTCTCATTGTATCTGCTTTTAACGCTGTCCGTATATTTCTCCTTCACGTTCGGGTCATCCAGGAGTCTGTCGTATTGCAATCTAGGTACTGCCTTGGCCCTCTCCAATTTCCGTAGTACCACTCTAAGGTTACATACCACTGAAAGGTGGTCGCTCCCACAACCGGTGCTCAGGTATATTTTACAGTGTAAAACTACATTCCAGAATGCCTTATTGATCGTTATGTAGTCGATTTGGTTTTACGTTTCTCCTCTTAGTATTCTCCATGTCCATATACGTCTTGGGTGTTCTTTAATCTAGATGCTGGCTACTAACTGACAGTTCAACGTACACCAATGTTCCATTATTCTCCGCGTTCATTACTAGTTCCTAACCGGAATTTACCAACTATTTCATCATCTCTCCCGTCCTGGGTAAGACGATAAACTACATTCGGCAGCTAGATCTTTGATGAGGAGGTTTTGAGGAGCGTGGAACCACCTCTTAATCGCTGGTGTTTTCAGGTCCACCCTGACCCGGGGTGGTAGCACCTGTTAGGGGCCCCAGATGGGGTCAAAACACTATGAAAGTGTAAAAATAGGTTTTAATACCAGCAATACATTTTTGTATAAGATTATTACCAGCAATAAAGTTTTGAAGAAAAAATTATTACCAGCAATACATTTTTGGAAAAATACTACCAGCAAAAAAAAAAACTTGTCGGCATTAAATAACCCATTGAGCTTTATATGCTGCAAACCAAAAGATATGTCCCGGCAAGGGATATCTTTGTTCGAAGTATCAAAGTGGTTGTTGACTACTGTAACCGGGTAGGACAATCTAGCAGGTAACCGTAATGGACTGGTCCTCGTCGTAGTGGTAGGCAATAGGCGTTGTCCATGTACCTCCACATAAGTCTGTATTTATGGCTGACACCAGCCAATCATATTACTGTGAGGGGGAACCCAGGTGTATGCATATTCATTACATCACCAAACCAAACCAATCCAACCCAATCACCATCTCCCTCCTTACCTACTCTGCCATTAAGTTCTCCCATATGGAAGACCTCTGTATTTTACGGGGAGGTATTGTTTAATATTTTTCTTGCCTGAATTTAAGAGTTGTCTCAAGTCGAACCCATTAAATTCACTTACGTGCTAATACCATTGAGAAAGGTATAAATCCTCTTCATCTCATCCCAGCTATGGGTAAAAAGCAGTATAGACCGGGTTCTGTAGCCTTGGATGGCAACTGGTCTACAGCAGAAAGAAATGGCAACTTACCGCGGGAAAAATCTGCCTCGTCAGTCATGTATCGAAAGATACATGATCGCCTAAGCGTGTATCACGCATGGCACATAACTGACTAACCCAAGATTTTGATCGCGCTCGAAGTCAACCTAATGAAACTGTTCGGCATGTTTTCGTCGGTCGCCATTTTCGCTTAAAATGTGGTCCTAAAATATTAACTTATATACGACTACATACTTTTTTTTACTAATGTTTACTAAGTGCAAGGCTCAAGAGCCAAACAGTGTAGAGAGTTATTAAATGAGGTTGTTGTATGAGCGTTAAGAGAAGGAGGTAATAAGTACGGTTTATGAATATATGTGGGGAAGATAACGGTAAACTCTAGACTTAAAAGTAGTGGTTTTTGGGAAGAAGCTGTCCGAATAGATCTTCCACCTTACTAATGGAATACGAAAGAAATGGACGTGATTCGACCCAGTGTACATGGCATGGCGTTTCTTAGCAGTAAAGGTCGGAACTGGCGGAACAAAGAATGTAGCTCGTCAGAATATTTGTCATGGAAATAGCAATAGAGTAACGAGAGGCTTGCAACTTTTCGTCTGTGAGGAAAGGGTTTGTAGGGAGGAAAATAATTCATCACCCACAAGGCCGCATAGACGTTTTTGAAATATAAAAAGAGAAGAGAATTCCGAGGTCAGAACGAGTGTTTATTAAGTATAGTATGTCTCAAAGCCCGAAATGTGAGCAACACGTGGCGATCGCACTAACACCAAACGAGCTTATTTACCATGATAAACCTCTGCACGTTTGGTTTGCTTTATTTTGTTTAACGGCATATCAACCTCAATGGGTTATTTAATGCCGATAACATTTTTAGGATAGATTCGTATGAATAGAATATGTATTCTTTGGTTTAGATTGGTTTGGTTTATTTTGTTTTACGGCATATCAACCTCAATGGGTTATTTAATGCCGACAACATTTTTAGGATAGATTCGTATGAATAGAATATGTATTCTTTGGATTAGATTGGTTTGGTTTATTTTGTTTTACGGCATATCAACCTCAATGGATTATTTAATGCCGACAACATTTTTAGGATAGATTCGTATGAATAGAATATGTTTTCTTTGATTTAGATTGGTTTGGTTTATTTTGTTTTACAGCATATCAACCTCAATGGGTTATCTAATGCTGATAACATTTGTATGTTAGACTCGTATAAATAGAATATGTATTCTTTGGTTTAGATTGGTTTGGTTTATTTTGTTTTACAGCATATCAACTTCAATGGGGTTTTAATGCCGACATTTTTTATTGCTGGTAATATTTTCTTTTGTCAAAAAATATAATATATTAATAATATTTTTCCTTCAAAATTGTATTGCTGGTAATAATTTTTTCCAAAATTTATTGCTGGTAATAGTTAACTATTTGCCCATAGCTGGTGCCTTAACAGGTGCTACCACCCCGTATCAGTGTGAATCTGGGAACACCAGCAATTCAGAGGTGGTTCCACGCTCCTCAAAACCTCCTGATCATATGTCTTACTGCTGGATGTAGTTTATCGTCTTACCCAGGGCGCGGATGTAGTTTAACGTCTTACCCAGGACGCGGATGTAGTTTAACGTCTTACCCAGGACGAAAACGTTTGTACGATGTTGCTAAACTAGATATTAGCTAACGTATTTACGTGTCGAGCGCCTGCCGTTGTTTGGTACTTAATTAACGAGTATTGTCATGATTATGTGCTCTTGTATAACAGCCTTGTACCAGACTAGAACAAACTGAAAATGTCGAGCATTGAGCGAGAAAACCTCGCATAAAAATTTTCGTTTCGCAGACTATCGTTAATTTCAATCCTTACTGAGTGCTCTCCTTATGTAGCCTTATGCCAGACTTAAACAAGTTTAGAAAATTTTGAGGATGCTACTTTGAAGACATATACTTAGTAAAGTAAGATGAAACTATCGATAGAGTTTACTCTGCTTTTATAGTCTTGTGCCAGACTAAAATGTAAGTTTTATCAGCATAAAATCATCGACAGGATGTAAGCACGGAAGTATGAAAATACCTATGTCTGGCACAAGGCTATAGGAATTTCGAGGATAAAGTGAGGGTCGGTTCTAAAGCAGTAATAGTTGGTGTCAAGATTGTCCACAGCTTATCACCAACCAGAGGTTAGAAAAATAGGAGAAGAGAGCGAGAGAAGGTATGAGAGTGAGAGAGAAGGAATGAGAGAAAAAGAGAAGGTAAGAGCAAAGTAAAGAGAGAAGGTAAGAGAGTGAGAAAAGTAGAGAAAGTATGAGAGTGAGAGAAAGTACGAGTGAAAGAAAGTGAAGGTAAGAGAGCGAGAGAAAGAGAGAAGACAAGAGAGTGAGATATCTAGAGAAGGTAAGAGCTCGAGAGAAGGTATGAGAGTGAGAGAAGATATAGGAGAGAGAGGGTAAGAGAGTGAGAGAAACAGAGATCGAGTGAAGGCATGAGAGAGAGAGAGAAGGTAAAAGAGAAAGACAGAAAGTAAAAGAGAAAGACAGAAGGTAAGAGAGCGAGAGAGAAGGTAAGAGAGGGAGTATTCGAGAGAAGGTAAGAAATTGAGAGAAGGTATGCGAGTGAGAGAAGCTATGGAAGAAAGAGAGAGGGAAAGCGAACAGAGGAAAGAGAGAAGATAAAAGTGCGAGAGAAAGAGAGAAGGTATGTGAGTGAGAGAAAGAGAGAAGTTAAGAGAGCCAGATAGCGTAAGAAGTTAAGAAATCGAGGGAAGGTATGAGAGTGAGAGACGGTAAGAGAGAGAGAGAGAGAGAGAAAACATATGAAAGAAACATTGAAGGTAAGAGTGTGAGGGAAAGAGAAGTCAAGAGACCGAGAGAGCGAGAGAAGGCAAGCGAGCGAGAGAACGTATGAGTGAGAGAACGTCTGAGAGAAAGAGAGAAGATAAGAGAGAGAGAGAAAAGAAAGAAGGTAAGAGAGCGAGAGAAAGAGAGGAGGGGTAAGAATGAGAGAGAGAGAGAGAGAGAGAGAAAGTAAGAGAGCGAGAGAAAGAGATAAGATGAGAGAGAAGGGGAGGAGAGAAAGAGTGTGAGGTAGGTAAGAAACAGTGGGATTCAGAAGAATGAGAGCGCGAGGAAGAGAGAAGCAGAGGGGAAGAAAGAGGGAAGGGGAGGAAATAAGGGAGGATTAAGAAAGAAAGGGTTAGAAATAGAGAGAGCGAAGGGTGATGAAGAGAAATGGAAGGAGAAGAGAAGAAAAAGTTCAATAGATAGATGATACACTTTGTAAAAATAACATGATTCGTTAATGTCGCCTTGGGACAAACTCAACTGAACCAAGGTGACACGAGAAATATAGTTGTAGTGACACTCCACTTTAAGAATCTGTCTTATCCTCTTGCTGTGACTTGATAATATGATACGGTAATTTGAAAATCCGCCCTAAACGATATCAACTTTAGAAACACCCTCATTTATATCTTATCTCTTTAAAGATATTCCGAATCTCTTTGTTTGTGCAGACGACGGAAACACAAAGTAGAAAATTAATTTATAAAAATAGCCATACCGCACACATTTTAGCGAATCATTCTCATTTCTTTCGCATTCCACTGGTGAGATGTAATTTCCAATCGAGCAGCTTCTTCTTCGTTCAAAATGGTCACAAGAATTATTTCCCACCCTACAACCTCTTTCCTCACAAGCGAAACGTCGCAAACTTCTCGCTGCTCTATTGCTATTTCCACTGAAAGTTCTCAGACGAACTACATTCCTTAGTTCCACCAGTTCTGACCTTCACGGCTATGACCCATCATGCCAAGCCCATTGGAGCGAACCACACTAATTACCTTCGTGTTCCCCTGGTTAGATTTATGTTCCACTCGAACAGCTTTTTCCCACTAACCTTGTGGAAGCGACTCCCAAGAGGGTGTATCCTCGATCACTACAATCTTATCCTGTTTAATCTAGCGTTAACCGTTAACTTCCTCACATATCAACATAAGCTGTGTATCTGTAACCCTCTAGCTCGAGTGGTCCTTGAGCCTTGTACAGAGTGAACCTCATTGTAAAAAAAGAAGAAGAAATGATTAGAACTGTTTGGAAGTGTATGATTTAAACATCTTTTGGCTGTGGATCTATAACCTACAACACTTGCTTCCCTTTGGTGTTTGGGAAGAGAGCGCTGATCATCGTTCAACCCATTCTGCAGCCATTTCTGATACTTGGAGAAAGTAACATCAGTTTATTTTAAAGGAATTACTTTTGGATCAATAGTTATTTTTTATGTAACCGCAAGTTCTATTCTAACAGTTTCTTCTATCCCACTTCTTGTTTATGGAACTCTCTTCCAGCTTCTTACTTCCCAATCAAATTAGATCTTGAAAAATTTCAATGCAATGTCAATTGTTGTCTTCTTAATTCTTTATTTTTTTTTTATTGTTCTCTCTCTTTAATAATATTTAGTTCATATTCTCTCACATTCGGTAATCCTTTGCGTCTTAGTGGCTTTATTGCCTTGCTTGGAGTGAAATTATTAATATATATACCAGGGTGTATCAAAAAACTTTTACAAACATGTACAGCATAATCTTCAGGTATTGCTGAGTATAGACTGACCGATACGTAATTAAAATTTTAATAAAAATGTCTAATTACCGCAATGTTGGCGCAGTAAAATATTAAAAAAAATATATATTTGGCACCTAAATTAAACGTGATTTATATATATATATATATATATATATATATATATAAAATATATATATATATATATATATATATATATATATATATATATATATATATATATAAATTTTTATATATATATATATATATATATATATATAAAATCACGTTTTATATATATATATATATATATATATATATATTATATATATATATATTATATTATATTATATATATATATATATATATATATATATATATATATATATATATATATATAAATCACATTTAATTTAGGTTTAAATATATATTTTATATATATATATATATATATATATATATATATATATATGAGAAAAAATAATTTAGAGTTGTGAAAATTAATTTTTTTATATTAAGCAGGGAGATTACTAGTTCTATTTTTTAAAAGCCAAACCATAATTTACATTAAAAATTAATCTGGATTAAAGTACTTCAGCAGATATTTATTTTTATGCCTACATGTAACCTTCAATTCATTTATCTTGTTTAATAAGCTAGGAATATTTAAGTGTTTTAAAATGACTAATTTTACAACAAAGCATAAATTACAGCTATAGCCTTTCCCATTGTAAGATTTAACTTTAGCTATAATATCCCACGTAATAATGAGTGCATTACCACCATTCTTTAATTGCCAGAAATCTTTTGAGAGAGCAATGCTGTTTATGTATTTTATATTGCCTAAAGTCATTTGATGAATGTAGAAACGAAATTTCCAAGGATTTTCAGTGGAACCAAAATAAAATTTGACATCGTTACCGGAATATATGCTAGCTCGGTATACAATATTATGAGTGATACATTGTCTGTTTAAGGGACAATTCGTATCATATATTTTCGGTAGTTGCATTTATTTAAACAAAATAAGTTTGTTGTTTTCGTTGGACATACATTAATCTAATATAATTTTGTCATATATATATATATATATATATATATATATATATATATATATATATATATAATTTAAAAAATCTAACAAAAACGTTTGCAAAATTTCCGACTAAAATTTTTATATAACGAAACAATACCTTTCCTTGATTTATCTAATTAGGTCAATATAAAATCCTTCAAATATAACGTTCTCAATACGACATTAGCATGAATTCATCTTCACCTCCTAAACAACGCCTGCTTTTTTTGTTCTTTTTATTCCTGGGGATGACCACCGAATAATCTAAAGTAGCGGCCTACAAACTTTTTGCACCATGGACCGGTATCATTCAAAACAATTTTTCCATGGACCAGCGGTCAGGTGGTTTCGGTCAAGCGCATAACAAAACACAATAAACAAGACAGCGATAGTCAATAAATTGGAAAAAAAAAAAAAGAAAAGATTTTCTTCTTTCTGTAGGGCCTGGTTCCAAATGGTCCGCGCCCCGGTTGTTGGGAACCGCTGTCTTAAAGCATTGGTAATGACAAGGAAAAATCCTACAGAACCTTGAAACAACCATTCGTTCTCTTGTCCGAAAGCAAGAGAAAAGTTATCGTCTTCTATGCAGAGTATCCCTACAGGACGTTGGCTATCATGGCTCTCCACAATTTCCTATCTTTTGTAGGTCTTAATAAACTTTGTCTTTTTGTCATTTCTCTTAAACCCTGTTCTGCCATCCACAAACTCGTTAGGCGGGTTATGCGCTGTTTTCTGCTGTCCCTCTTGTCTTCGATATCTCCTGTGAGTGTCAAATTTTCCAAGCCCCCTTTCCTCCTTACACATCCGAGAAATTTCAGATGTCTCTCACTGATGTTACGTATAAATGCTCTGTGTGATTCCATTATGTAAATTAAAACATTCTTTGTCCGTCAATCCAATAATCCATAGATAAACGTATGAAGTTGTGGCGCCATTATTATCAGCACATGATAGAAAAATTGGCGAAATGGAATTCAAGAATGTGTTGTATAAACAAAACGTCACTTGGAGCGACATATTAAATAATTAATGTTATTTACACTTGGTCGTAGTGACCTATTTTTGTGAAAATATGTTTCATTTGAGAGGAAAAACGACCCAGAAATAATCTCGCTATCTCCTTAGCCCTGAAAGCCGATTAATCATAATGTTCACTTCGTTTACCGTCTACTGGCACATGGCTAATAAATAGGCGTACGAATAGTGTCATGATTAACGAGTCAGAAAGAAAAATCAGTAACCCGAGTTCTAATTCCGTTTTTTGCACAAATACCCTTGGAAAGGTATGAATCCATCTCGTCTCCCTTCAGCTATGGGTTAAATAGTAGAACTGATTGGGCTGTCATGCCTTGAGGTGTCTGAATTAAAATACCAGTCCAAAGAGAGATGGTCGCTGTCACGTTAACTTTCCCTAGATACACCACTGCCAATATGCATACTGTACATATAGGTGTGTGTGTGTGGGGGGGGAAGGAGATACCATCCTAACTGCTTACGAGAATTGTGGCGTGATGGTGTCGAATAATGTACAAGGGTAAGATTTAGCTGAATCTTCCAAGTTTCAGGGGACCTATCAGCTCTCAAAATCAGCAACAAAAAACACCGTCTGTCTATATTTCTGAGATGAGGTATTATGTACAGTATTTACATTAGTCGGACTATTGTCCTCATCTTTGTCGCCATATTTGTCACAACGTTTCGGCCGTTGTACGTTCCGGCCTTCTTCAGGTGGTTGGAATTTCGAACTGAACCCTTTATTTCGATCACTGGGGTAGACTGTTTTAGTTCCACGTGCCATGTTTGATGGATGTCAGTTATCAGTTATCTCCTGCTAATTTTCCCTCTGAAAGTTCTCCACTGCCTTAACCGGGTATTGAACTCACCTTCTTTGGGTCTGCCATTGGATCTAACCAACGGAGAACTATCGAAATAAAGGGTTCAGTTCGAAATTCCAACCACCTGAAGAAGGCCGGAGCGTACAACGGCCGAAACGTTGTGACAAATATGGCGACAAAGATGAGGACAATAGTCCGACTAATGTAAATACTGTAAAAAACACCGTTTTTGGCTGGGATCGATCATCGGCCATAGACATTGAACTATGTCAACCACCAAACAGACGGAATACATATATCTTCAAGTGATATACTTAACTAACACTATTCAATGCAAGGCCAAGGTGTGTGTGGGTGGGGATAGGTGTAGTAAGATCGTGTGACACTCATCTTCCAAATCGATAGGGGGGGCTTGTGTACCTTCAAAATCTGCTTTCTAAACCCTCTCGATTTGCGTTTATTAATACTGTGAACGTTGGAATTTATATATTATTTTCGTTCTCATCGCATCGGATATATATATATATATATATATATATATATATATATATATATATATATATATATATATATATATGTGACTAAAGTCTTCTCGTTCTCTTTCACTCCTTGCTTGATATGAAACGATTAAAATATGAATATACGTATATTATTCACTTTGTTTAGTTTAGAGAGAGGATTGGTGTATACGGAATAAATTCCAGTAACCAACAATTACTATTCTTAAAAGAGTGCTCAATACAGAAATATATAATTATTTATTTGAAAATTATAACATAAATATGTTATAAAATCACTACAAAAATAGCCATTTTGTTTCAACACCTATTTATATGTTTATACGTTCTTTTTATAGATACAAATATTTAAGTTAATGCTCTGCTTATAATAAACAGTATTAACAACATTTTCCGGCCTGAATGTCTGAGAAATTTTCATAGGCTATATGTGTCCTCCGACAGGAATCGAACCTGTATCCTATACGGAACTGTCATACAGCCTGACGTGCTTTACCGATTGAGAAAGGTTTAAAACCAGTAAAATCGACTTTGCTAACCGAAACGCTCCTCTGTGTATATGAATAATACCAATTTGTAAATGGTAAGGAGAGGACATTAATTCAAAGGGAGCAAGTTACAGAGCAATATAATGTTAAATCAAGAAAAGCCTTAAAATCCATCAGACCGAAAGATTTAAAAAAAAAATTCGGTTTGAAGAGATGAATATAAAAATATTCATGAAATAAAATATATCCATATATAATCCATTTATTTTAGCATTATATAATTTTACTTCTTCCCGTAAATGAATAGACTGCTCTACTATCTTAACAGCATCTGGGGAATGCTACGCAAGACATGCTACAGCGTGTTCGTCAGGTGTTGGACTGCCAACTTGATATGTGTTGTGTCACATGTGTGGCGCATAATAAACATCTGTGAAGCTTTGTGAAATCGGTTATAAAATCTACATCCCTTTGAATATCTTTCTCGAAGTTTGATAAATAAATCTTTTATTCTTCAACATGAAGCTTAATTAATTTCGTCTGCCTGGGACATGGAGTTACTAAGATATGCGCATTTTAAATTGTGTCAGTTCTTTTGGACACCCTCTGTATACATATTGTTTGCGCAATGCAATCGTTTGATCCGTCCTGATGGATGTGGTTCTTTAGTCTTACATTGCCTGACTCAGATGCGGCAACGTTTGGTTAGTTTTCAAGTAGTTGCTTTTTTTTTTTTTATAATAACAACCGGATACTAATAACTAATAATACTAATAACCGGATACTAATTTCCAAACACACCCATCACAGTTTGTGGCTAACAAATCAAGAGTCCATCTGTGGTTTATACTGCAGCTATGTAGGGCGGATTTTACTTAGAGTTTCTGGGATAGATCGGGTAATTCAATTTTATTTTGAACAAAAACAGCCTACTCAAACCCTCGGTCACGATGACTTGTAGCTTCGTGCCAGCACAAATATCGACGGCTTCCGAACGTTTCTGTGTATGGAAGTTCATTCGCAAGGTTTGGGTTAAACCCGTAGTATGATTTTCAAACGCTTTTCACAGGTGCCGATATAATCAACAAATCAGCTTCCTGACAAATCGACCATAGTGAGCTTTGAACCCGGGTCTCATAGGACAGAAATCAAACGTTCTAACCACTCAGACACAAAGCTGTTTTTTTATTCATTCATACATACATACCTACCTACTTACATGTGCAATTACTACTGAATAGTGTGTTCAATTCTCATTGGGTGCCCCATACATTCAGCCTTACGCCATATCTAAGCTACTCTTAGAAAATCACTGGGCATTTCGACGTGGTATACTGATTAGCTAGCTTGTCTCACTAAATCATTTACGACTGAATAGTGTGTTCGGTCCTTATTCAGTGCTCAATTCTTTTGGCCTTGTACCACATCTAAGCTACGATTACAAAGTAACTTCGACGTTGTATAATAAGTTTATCTTGCTAGATCAATTACAACTGACTAGTGAGTTCGATCCTCACTGGGTGCCGCATAGTTTTGTCCTTACGTCGCATTTAAGTCTCACTTAGAAAACCTACCATACATAGATTTGTGTGTATGGTAGTCTCACACATATATATGCTTGCATACATACACACGCAGACACTATATTCTCGGCTGATATATTACTTAAAATATCGCGACAAAGGAATGTTTATATATGGATGAAGTCTAGTCGGTCTATTGTTGAAGTGTCGTTGAGTGCAGTAAAACAATAACAAAGTCAAAAGAAGGAAGAAGATAAGATCGAGTGAAAAAGTCGGGGTTTGTAAAATGATCCGAATTTACGACAGGAAAAAAAGGCAGCCAATCTACTACAAAGCGCCTCTACTTAGTGGTAGGTTTTTAAAACGCTTCGTAAACAAAAGGCGGGAAGTGTTCTGATTGGACAGAAAATAATTGTAGATCAATTGAATAATAGGCGGAAAAATCAAATGTTAGAATAACGTGTTCAGAGCCATAATCAAAATCTTGACTAAACTGGCGGAATGGCATAACTTGACTAAACTGGCGGAATGGCATAACTTTTTCAATTAACTGTCACATGGAGCATTTCTTTGGATAAATATCGCGATCGGGGGCCTGTTATTTTCAGAAGCAGGTTGGATTCCTAGTGGAGGGAGCGAGCATCAAGGCCGGTGCATACTACCCCCCTGACCCTTGCTATCCTATCAATTGTTTTATACCTACGTTTATATACGTTACAAATTAAACTAAGCACAACTGATTATTAAAGGAGGAAAACTTTTCACGGATTTTGACGTCATTCTGGTGGTGGTGGTGGTGGGGGGTCTTTTATTTTCCTCCAAATCCGTGAATTTGTTTTTCTCATGTGAGCTAGGGCTGGGGGGAAAGCCTGATTGAGGACTCCAGGCAGTGCTTTGTGAGCATCGCTATCTTATCAACATTTACTTTATTTCTATCTATATTTATATACGCTTCAAATTAAACTTAGCACAACTGATTATTAAAAGACGAAACGTTTACGCCGATTTTGACATCATTCTGGGATGGGGGGAGGGTCTTTTATTTTCGTCCAAATCCGTGAATTTCTTTTGCCCATGCTAAGTCTCAAAAAAACACTATAAAAATTCACTTTTTTTCATCCATAATGATGAATGTGCTAAAATTCAAAGAAATCTTTGAAGAAAAATTACAAGTTGATGTTAAAAATTGCCGCAAAACATTATTGATTTATTTAAGATTGTTATTATTATGACAGGTCTCTAATATGTATTTAGATACATCTGAAAAATCTCCACAAAGATGAAGAAGAGACTTGAAGCAACAGAAATGTGGTTCTACAGAAAGATTCTGAGAATACCATGGATCGAAACTACTTAACACCAGGAAGAGGCAGTTGAAATTTCCGGGGCATGTAATGAGGAAGGAGGGCTTGGAAAATCTGATACTCACAGGACAGATTAAGGGAAAGTGGGACAGAAGAAAGCAGCGTGTAACATACTTGATAGGCTTGAGTAAATAGATGGTAGAACAGGGTTTGGGAGAAATAAGAAAAAGACAAAACTTATTAAAGGCTACAAAAAACAGGAAGATGTGGTGGGCCATGATTGCCTATGCAGTGAAGGGACATGGCACATAAAATAAGAAGTATTTATTTTCATTTTTTCTAGTTAACTTGTTCACCTATATTGTATATGATCCATTATTGTACATAATTATTAGGTTAAAATAAAATTTGTATTTTATATGAATACTAACTTATAAAAATTGAAATGTAGTAGAGGGAGGCGTATTATAGATTTGGGGGGTATCATAGATTCTGACGTGTAAAACGCTAAACTCGCAATCTACCCAGGACACTCATAACTTGTATATAGAAATAATCTTGATATGTATATGTATATATATATATATATATATATATATATATATATATATATATATATATATGAACATTGAAGTTAACATTAGAGGCGACAGTCTGTTTCATATTAGACGCAATCGTCAGACCACGATTGCGTTTAGCTTGAAACAGACTGTCGCCTAAGTGTTGATCAATGTTCACTTTTATATTTACACACACTCTATTTCTGATATTGAGCACTTTATCCCATAAATATAGCACACCTTAAGACTATATTTCTTCATATATATATATATATATACATATATATATATATATATATATATATATATATATATATATATATATATATATATATATATATATCGTATACTCGTGTAATTTATAAAAATGATTTTATCATGTATCTCGTATATCATGCAAGTCCCTTTTTTTTGAGAGACCAAATTACAATAGACAGGTTAGCCCTTTATCTCTTTATCCCATCTTCTATTTAAATGTTAAAAAAGTAAAAGAGAAAGATAAAAGTATCGTTAGTAACGCTATACTCGTTGCGTAAACGCGTACAGCCATAAACAACCGAACGAGAAACAACTAAACATTTTATAAACGTAAACAATGGAAAAGATTCATATTCGCAATTTCTGTATTTTATAATACGATACTAATATGTGGATATTACATGCGTTATTATTAAATACAGTTAAGTAAAACATCAGTTTTATCAAAATCAGGTTTATTTTAAATACAGCTCTACTTCTTGACTACAGTAAATCAAATGGATATATAGCCAGGGTCAGCAGTACATCATCTAATTTTATATCTCGTGTGTGATGCGACCCCTTAAAAGAGGTCTTCAAAAGTTGGATGATACGCGTGTATATATATAT